TAAATCAAGAAGGATTTTCTAGACAAGTAAAAATTATTGTCTTTTAAAAATTATAAGTCAAAATTAAGTGAGTTTTTGCTTGAAACCAGCAAAATAATCTACCAATGGGGTAAGCAAAATAATCTTGTTTTCTGTTTGAAATAAGATTATTTTGCTTACCCCATTGTTTTTTCTGAAAACAAGACATTTTTTAATTTTGTTTTAAAAGAATACCATGTCTGTCTCTGTGTGTGTGTGTGTGTGTGTGTGTGTGTGTGTGTGGTTAAGACAATGTAACCATGCTATTTACTAATGGATGTAAGGGATTATTTTAACCATAAATATGATGACAATTCTGTCATCACTTACTCTGCCGTGTGCCAATTCAAACTATGACATTCCAAACTGACATGCATTCTTCCACGGAACACGGCAGGTGACATTTTTAAGGCTCAAAAACAGATGCACAATGCAATAGAAACATAAAAGTATAATTAAAATATTCCATGTTCATGCACTATATTTCAAATGTTCTGAAATCAAACAATATCTTTGTTTAAAGTAGAGACCGATTCATTATTCACTGAAAATGTTGACATCTGCATTAGCTCTTTTTGGTGGCTGATCAGAGAAGTAGTGGTGTCTGAATCATAACATCTCAGATCAGATTAGATCTTTTCAAGGAATATTTTTTATAAAACCATTTAGAATTATTTGTTCATGGGTCTAACTGACCTGCTTATAAAGCTCCTTAAACAAAACTATAATTCAGAGAGAGAGAGAGAAAAAATTATAATTGAAGCTTGAAAGTCCTCATGAGGACTAACTGCATTACAATGTTTATTTGTATTATATAACAAATAAAGATTTGAGTGTTTGAACAACATAAGGGTGAGAAAATTTCCATTTTGGTTAAACTATCCTATAATAAAATGGTTCAGCTGAAATTAGAATTTGTATTTGACTCGCACCTCTCCAGTGGGTTGATTTCCACATTCATGGAAAGTGTTTGTGTTTGAGGATAAACACAGCTGAAAGGAAGCTTAAGGATTTTCTCTCTGCTGATGAGGCCTTCTGACCTCGGTG